GAGGGATCAAATAGAAAACAAATTAACCCCTGAGGCAGGAAATATTTTAGCTACTGTGCTCAAATGCCTCCTGAGAAAGAGCATCGTGTAAACCCGGAATGGTTACGGTGGAAACTCTTCTCAGATGTTTACAAAGGAGCGACACGGTTCACCAAAAGGGCTTAAAGAAGTAGAGGTCTCTATCTTGATAAGCAGTGTTCTGTCCTGCAGGGAAGGAATCTGCTGGAAGCCGGGGGGTGCCGGGCAATGCCCGTGGCTTTCAATGCCACCTGCAGGGCGCAGCGGCAGCCGGAGCCCTTCCCTGCTCCTGGCAGCCTGGATGCTTCATAAGGAGAGCAATAGCACCTACGTGTGGCCAGTCTGAACTAGGCGTCTGTAACACGGGTATAATTTTATAAATTCTGAGCTGAGAAAGGCCTCTAGGAAAACAGGGGCATAAAGTCATGATATTAACTTGCATAACTTGTGCTTAGCTTTGGTTGCTGTGAATTTACGTGCATGGTGCTGCCACATCATTCTCCTGTGTGCTTCTGGGCTCCTGTCTATCCCTTCCTTGCCTCTTGTTGGCTTTAGTGGCACTGGTCAGTTCCAGCCACCTTTCCCTCAAGTTCTAAAATATATTAAGCTGCTTCTTGTGCTACAGACATACGTAGATAATAGGGGAGACCTGGAGTAGCAGGGACTTTAAGGGTGGGGGTCCGAGCCCTCTTCTACCCCAGCAGAGCTTGTGTTTGAGGAATGGAACACTTCTAAAGCCTTAGGCTAAACACATGTTCATGTGTCCCCCCTTTACAAACACCAAACACTGTCCAAGCAGGTGTTTGTAGGTTCCAGAGGTGTCCCCGGGGAGGAGCTGTGTTCTGCCATTGACAGGCTGTGCATAATAAATCTTCTCTCACTGGATTTGCTCTGGGCACTTGGTGTTTGGACTGTAGGTGTTGGAGAGACTATGGTTTGGTTCCTGATCACACCAGGTTTCTCCCTATTGCCTTTAAATCTGTCTGGTTTCCCTTTCAAGTTACGACTTCTTGTGTGAGGAAGGTGATGGTCTTGGGCTGCTGCCTGCAGCCTGTAAGGGTCCACCTCTCTGTCCTGAGCTGCAGAGGCAAGGCAGGACATGCTGTCACCTGGGAGGTAGGTCAGCTCTTCCTGACACCCTGCCTCAGTCCATTTGTCATTCTGTTTGAAATACGCTGGGATTCTTGTGATCTGTATTCCCCAATTTCAATAGGATTGAAAAGATTTCTTTCCTAGGGGCTATTTCTAGCAGTGACAGCACAGCTAAGCCTGGCAGTGCTGGGTGGTCGGGCTGGCCGCGCTGGGCTCTGCCGGTGTTCCGCCTGCTCTGGCTCCATCTGGGAGGTGCCAGGGCTGGAAACTGCTTTTTGCTTCCATGTGGCCAAGTCCAACGGAGTGTCACCCCTTTTGGATTTTGGCCAAGTCCAATGGAGTGTCATCCCTTTTGGATTTTCTGTGCATCTATCTCAATGCATTCTGCAACATGTCACACTTCTGAGCTGTGGTATCTGACACCCAAAATGTTGGTGTAGTCGGAGCTAACCTGCTATTGCATAAATGAGACAGCACAGGAGGGGTCTATGTTAGAACTCCTGAGATGAAGCTGTGGTTTCCTGCAGGCCAGTGTCTTTCTTCAGCTGTTGCCTGCAATTCCTTTGCTACTTGAGCTGTAGTTGCTCCTGAGACGGAGCACTTGTAGCTCTCTCCCACTAGAACCTCTTCTTGACACTTTTTTAAAAAATGTTTTTTCTCTGATCGTAGAGAAGTTCTTTGGTGTTTTCAGTAACCTCTGAGCTTTTGTACTGTGACATTCACTGTACAATGGCTTCAAGCAAAAATTATAAAAATGTTATTTTCTATTATGTACATTTCATTTTTTCATCTCTCATCCCACTTGAACTGGGTGCTTGCAAAAGAAGAGGTGCTTTCTGTCCAGAAGTGTCTGAATAGAGGTGGACAAAATAAGAGGAAAAAAACGAAGGAAGAACTGAGTGGTAGCACTACAGGTGGCATCAGTGGCTGCTGGTGGTGTTGGCTCATCAGCCAAAAGCTCTGGCTCTCAGAGTGTGCCTTCTGTCAAACACTATATAATGGAACAGTAGAATAAATAAATAGTGGTCTCAAACAATCCACTTTCAGAAGGTCTAAGAAAGAATTTGTAGGACCCACCATCTGTGCACTATGGCACTATGGCAGAGCTGGTCTGGCCTTTGAAGCCATTATAGTTGGATGACTTTTGGACACCTGAGGAAGGTGGTTCCCAAGGACAGAGTCTCACCTGTAAGGCAATGCTTCCCCCTGGCCAGCAGCCAGGCTCCTGCCACTGCCTGGGGAAGCACATGTGGAACCAACTTAGCTTTTTTCCCAATCCCCCAAAGCTGCTGAGACTCTGACTTGCTCGAGGGAAATGTGTACCTGCTTCCTGCCGAGCTGGGGGAGCTGTCAGGATGCCTCCCACGCAGATCCAAACAGGGATTTTTCCTTAAGAAAAGGGTGCAGGCATAAACAGCATGAGAAAGGTGAGATGGTGAAGGCTGGCGAGTGACAGTCAGCTATGGAGCTCTGGTGGCAGGATGGGCAGGAGGGAGCAGTGTTGAGCAGGGTAGGACTACAGGACACTGGCCCCGGGAGCACTGCCAGCTCGCTGGAGCCAGGCTCTGCTATAAAAAGCCTCAGGGTACATGCAGATGAGGGGCCCGAGGTGGGCTCCTGGGATGGGATACTGGCAGGTGATATTAGACCCTGGCAATCCTTGGGCACAGGAATATCAATTCTCAACATCTACAGTCTGCCCTGGATGTGGGCTGGAGTGAGGGAATAAGAGTATCAGAGCCAAACCCTCTTGTAGACTTCAAGGTTCAGCCTGGACACAGGCTGCTGTGGGCAGCTCCAGCTCAAGGATGGGGCTCCTGGGAATACAACAGAAGCATAAATGTGAGATCTTGCTGCAAACTAGGCTCTCAGCTCAGCTTCAGGAGGTATTTTGAAAATATATTTTCACTCTGAGGCAGTGTCTTGAGAAGCTGCTGAGATGTAGAAATGTGTTCTCTCTCTCCAGGACAGCATCTCTGTAGCAACACAGAAGGTGGTGCAGCAAGATAGTCCCTGATTTTACCTTTTGACAAGTGTCCCTAAAAGCTGGCATGATTCTTATCTAAATCCAACACTTAATGTTATGTATGTGCAATATTAGCTCTCATTTGAAATCTGAAACCAAGCTATTAGTGTGGAGGACTTCAAAGAAGGCCATTCAGATTTGGCACACTTGCTGGTACTATAAAAAAGCAAGGGAGAAAAATCTCAGACTTTCTTTTGCAAGCACAGTGATGAGTTTCCAGGATCCAGGCTGGCATTTGAAGACTAGTTTAAATGGCTTAAACTATTGTAAAATTCTCAATCTCTCTCAACATGTGAATTATATCATATTTACTACTTTGGTACTAATTTTTTGTAGCACAACATATTTGAAATTTAAGACCATAAACCCTATTGCCTTTCAAAGGTTCTTGTGCTTATAAATATTTTGGGAGGGATTTTCAAATGACTTTCAGTTTCCCAGTGAGCACAGAAACTAAGTCCACGCTCGTATAATCGTTGCTTTGGAGGGGAAGTGCATGATCAAAAGCCTTAGTCTGTACCTCTTGAGACAGATTTATTCTCAGCTAAGGGCTGGGGGGGCAGGCAGTGAGGATACAGGTGGTGTTGGCCTTAAAACAAGTGGTATGTGTTGAGGTCTGTGGCAGCAGGATGGCCCCATGACATATTTCTTACTCACAGCTTAGACATGCCAGATCAGATTCCCGCTGACATGTAAAGCCCTTTTCCACAGCTCTGGCAGTGCTAAGAGCTGGGACAGTCTAATCTCTTCCTAAAGCCTTCCTGTACTGCAATGCTGACTAAAACCTTGGAGTTTTGCGTGGAAGCAGCAAGTGTACTGATATAGGGTCGGTTGTGCTCATCGGTATCAACTCCTGCCCCTCCCATCTGCCTTTTTGGTATTTTATATGCTGGTACATTGTTTTATTTTGGTGGTTTTTTTGAGGTAGGATGGTCTGTCTAGAATGGTCTTCTATGGAAACATGTTCTGGGTGGGCAGCTGCATATGTCTCCCTACTTGTGTGTTGGTTTCAGACCTGTAAATCTGGGAAGATGCAAAGGGGTTTTTGCAGGTTTTGTGGCTGGGCAGCCTGGCACTGTTGCCAGGCAGGGGACAGCCACATGACAAACTTTGCCTTTTTAGCAAGCAGAGGGTTCATATAGGAAAGAGAAACTGGTGGTGCCCAAGTTACAGAAATGCTTCAGTTGTGCTGCACCTTCTCATACACAGGGGACCAAAAGGGGATTGAGCAGTCTGTGAGAAGCAGGATCCTGCAGTGCGGTTGGTGCAAGGGCTGTCTGGGCACCAACTCACAGTGGTGTGATGTGTGCCAGGAACCCTGACAGGGATGTGGGTACTAAAATCCTTTGATTTGTGTTAAAAGCCCTTTTCTAGCACTAGGGCAGGGCCAAAAGGTCTTAATCAGAATCAGGATAATTACATTTCAAGAGAAGTTACCTTGGAAATTACTTAATTTATCTCTGTATTCATTTACTAATTAGACAGCTCAATTTTTTGAGCCCACCAGCCCAAACCTACTTGTAGATGGGAGGTTCTACAAGATGCTGTTAGAGAAGACCCAGTTTGGTACTAGCTGGTCAAGGAAAGAGAGAGTCCCTGAGCAAGGGGGATGTTTTCCTGTCAATATAGCATTCAAATTTAGCTTCTGCCACCGTAGGCAATGTGACATTAAAAGAAGGAGCTTAAGTTATTAAACTGAGCTGCTTTAATCATCCTGTTCAGGGAAATCCATTGCTACAGGAGACCTGGGGATTAATGTATTTTTACCACAAAGCCAATACATCTATTCTGACCAGTTTGCAGGCACTCACTGGTGCACATGAAACTTCATTCTCTGGGTTTGCACTCAATAGTATGGGACCAAATGGATTTTTATTTGGAGATTGACCCTGTTACCTTGAATCTCATCATTCTGGTGTCTAGTTATGTTATTTTGCTTCTGGTCTTCCTGATCTCCTGCGTGCTCTATGACTGCAGGGGGAAGGATCCCAGCAAGGAATATGCTCCTGAGATCCCTGCAGGCACCCAGCCCCCCATCCGGCTGGTGGTGATGCAGCAGGGCTCCCCAGGCACCCGCTGGGCAAAGGGGCTCGTCTCCAACTACGAAAACCCCTCCGACCTGCCAGGGAAAAGGACTACTGTTGTGTAAGGGGACCCTGCCTGGGAGCTCTGGTTTCTGCTGATTAGCTTGCCTCCTCTGCTATGTTTACTCTCCGTTTGCAAAAGGATAACGTGTTCACAAGGTAAGTTGAGAAGCTGATTTATTTGATATGGTGCCACGGCCGAGGGGTCGTTTTATGTTCAGCTGTGTTCTGCACTGCTACAGGCTTGCAGTCCTGCCTGCCATCCATAAAGAGTCTAATTCCTATTTACGCTGCTGCTGCCTTACAGTCCACTGGCAGTTGGAAGCAGTGACGCTGTTATCCACTCAGGCTCTGAAGAAGGGCCTTGGTGTAATCTCAAGTCATGCTTGGTGCTGTTATTTTTGCAGGAACACAGTGTTTTTTCAAAGCATCCCACCCTGACAGGCTGGGCTGAGCTGTGCTGCTCTGCAGCCTCGGCACATCTTCCTCAGCCAGCAGAGCGCGAATGACCTTGGTAGGTTGTCTCTCTCCAGTGAGAAAAGAAATGCTAAGGGCTTAAAAAAGATAGAGGTAGTGCCTTTCTGATAGAAGCCAGCTGCTGCTCCCATCAGAATTTAATACTTTCCATGTTGTCTGTAAGCTTCCCAGGGGGAAGTGCCAAGCCTGTCTTGGCACTTATTTTCCATAGGTAGATCACAAGCTCTGCTCTTCAGGGGCAAAGTACCCCCTGACCTGCACAAATCCCCTGACAGGATACAACGTGTTTCAGCCTGCAGAGCATCCTGACACTGGCAAAGAAATCTCCATATGTGGAGTATCTTTGTATTTTAAAAAAAACAGCTAGAGTGAATGGTTAGTGTTTTTTCCTTTAGGTTTCTAAATTCTTGAGGGTGAACCCACGTTTTGTTTTCAAGCTGTCCTTTGCACCCCTGTGAGTTACAGATACACCTGGTTTGGGAAGGAAGCCAGAACTGGAAAGAATGGTCCTGAGAGCTGGGGGCTTGGGTAAAACCCTTGATGTGATGAACCCGGAAATAAATCAAATGTTGGTGGCATGATCCTCTGCCACATACCATACCAAAACAATGATGCTGAATGTCTTGTTTTGGTTATTTAGCACTGAAAAAGTGCAGTTGGTTAACTGCAAGTTGTAGCTGCTTTGGCAAAACCTGGCAGTGACTAAGCTGCTGGTGTGTTATGGTCACTGTCACCCATTCAGGTCAGTGATATCTTTCCTTGGGCTCTCCTTATGTGCCTTATCTTCAGCTTGTAAGCTCTTTAAAGCTTTTTGTGTGTTCATATATCATCTAACATGCTACGAGCTGTCTTGGTGATAAGGGATCCTTGGTGTTAGGGATCAGAAATAATAGTCTTTGCTAAGAAGACCTTGGGGGTGAGGGGTGTGCACTAAAAAGAGCTCAAAAATATCAGAGTATGGCATAGCTGTTTTCTTAGTTGATGGTGGATTTCATATAGATTGCAAGCCATCAGAAAAGCTCTGTGGTTCTTTGAGGAAGATCATGCAAATAATGTAATGATACCATGACAGGTCTGCTGTATCTTTGCCACTGTGTTTGTTTTTGTAAGTAATACATGCAGAGATAGAGACTTTCAAGGCTGTGTTAATAACTACTTCTAGATAGCTGGAATTCTCCAGATACAAAGATTTTTCTATCAGAAAATATTTTGTGTGCACCAGCCACAAACTCTTGGCTCCTTGAAACTCAATGGCAAAATGTGTTGATTTTGGCAATGCCCAGGTAGGCTGCAGGCAGGGGAGCAGTTTCTAGGAGCACACTACGGACTTGTAAAGAAATTTATCAGTTGTGTAGAGTTGATGGACTCTGCCCTGAAACGTGGAGGTAAAAGCAGCAAATTGCACATTCCTCCTGATAGTATTTCTAATGGTGGTTATTTCTATTCTGTAAAATCCCCTTCCAGAAAATGAAAGACTAAAGGACATCAGGACTTTGCCTTCCCAGTGGGAATAAAATGGCTTTCTTAGTTTTGTCTATATTAGAACAGTATTGGTGTATTAAAGCAGTGAGAGAGCTCTCTGGTCCCTGGAGTGCTTGCAGTCCTCTGCCACATCCTTTGCATGCCACTGCAAGAAAATGGGTGAGGATGTTCTCCTAGCAGGGCAGCTATTTTCCCTAAATGGTGTGGTGTGAGGTGTGTATCCCTGGCTGGAGTTCACAGGGTATACTAAGCATCCTGAAAACAGGCTTTGCTGATGGCCATTCCAAAGTGAGCCATGCAGAGGGTGAAACAGCCCCTTGAGAGACCAGCATCTTGTGAGCTCTGGCCCTCAGCTGGCAGGGCCTGGGCTGTCCTGCTGCAGACAGCAGCACTCCAGAGCTCTCTGCACACACTCTCTGGCCCTTCCATCACTGTTGATGAATGATCATGGATCATTGATTAATCATGGATTTCTGCCTGGCTTAATCTTGACTCTACCTACTTAAGATGTGTGTTTGTGGAGTAAGTGCCATTTGCAAATGAATAAGATGTTGGTAAAACTTAACATTTTTTTCAGAAGCTTTGAGGAGAGCATTGGATGGATAGGTAAGGATTTAGGAAATATGCTCTGCTTGCAATTCTGCCCTTGGCCTATGGGGCATCCTTGGGCACCTCCTGTTTCCATTGTGCTTCTCTCCATGTGTGTCTGCTCCCCATTAATTCTCTCTGCTCTTCTACCTTCTGTACTCGTATTTCTCTTAGATGCTCCTGCAGTTCATAATGGAGTTACTACACAGGTGGCACCCAGGGGCTGCACTTGAATTTCACTCTATGAACTAACCCAGTCGTTTCAAAGCGAGCAAAATAAAATATACTCCAACCAAAAATGGCCAGAGTAGGGAAGTTGATGAATGAGCACTGGTAAATCTGGGGCAACCACGGACACAGAGCCTTAGAGATTTGCTTTGAGTGATGTATGGTCATCATGGCAGCGTGACAATCTGTAACTCTGTGGTTAGAACGGGACTGAGTGGTGGGAGGATTTATTGCTGTTGTGCAGGAAACAGGAATTCAGTCTGCACTGGCTGGCTTTCAATTGGCTTTAGTGCCCTTTCGGAGTTACATGTTACTGCTTCTGTAAAGCCTTTAATAAAAGGGTTTAACAGAAACAGGAAAAAATCCCACTGTATTTCTAGATGTCTCCAACGTGAATTTAAGTCCAACATATCATTATATTCAATGAAAATATCTTTCTTGTGAGCCTGTTCCACTGCAGATACACTGTCTTAAGCCTTCAGATTTTTAAGTCCGTAAAGAGCCACTACATATGAGTTGAGGATTAGTCTAGACAGTCTAACCTATATTCACAAGGGATAATTCTTCCCCCTTGTAAATTTTTTTTAATTTGAGAAGGAATAGATCTTCTCTCATTTTTTTTATTATCACATTATTCTTATGGTGCAAGTGTTCATCCTCTGGTAGTGCTAAGCATAGAAGCACAGTAACAGGTCCAAATCAAACCCCTTGGCTGTAAGAAGAACTTAAGAGTAGTTTTTACTGCCTAGAACCATGTCACCTTGTGTTATCAGCCATTCAGGTTGTGTTATGTTGATGCTTTGGTGGGAATGCCAAGAGATAAGAATTTATATATTGTGTGGTTGAGAATAATGTGCTTCCAGCCATGAGCCAATACTGGATGACAACACAGCAGCCAGAGCTGTAGCAGGGGTACACAAGTGGAAGGAGAGCATTGGATGGATAGGTAAGGATTTAGGAAATATGCTCTGCTTGCAATTCTGCCCTTGGCCTATGGGGCATCCTTGGGCACCTCCTGTTTCCATTGTGCTTCTCTCCATGTGTGTCTGCTCCCCATTAATTCTCTCTGCTCTTCTACCTTCTGTACTCGTATTTCTCTTAGATGCTCCTGCAGTTCATAATGGAGTTACTACACAGGTGGCACCCAGGGGCTGCACTTGAATTTCACTCTATGAACTAACCCAGTCGTTTCAAAGCGAGCAAAATAAAATATACTCCAACCAAAAATGGCCAGAGTAGGGAAGTTGATGAATGAGCACTGGTAAATCTGGGGCAACCACGGACACAGAGCCTTAGAGATTTGCTTTGAGTGATGTATGGTCATCATGGCAGCGTGACAATCTGTAACTCTGTGGTTAGAACGGGACTGAGTGGTGGGAGGATTTATTGCTGTTGTGCAGGAAACAGGAATTCAGTCTGCACTGGCTGGCTTTCAATTGGCTTTAGTGCCCTTTCGGAGTTACATGTTACTGCTTCTGTAAAGCCTTTAATAAAAGGGTTTAACAGAAACAGGAAAAAATCCCACTGTATTTCTAGATGTCTCCAACGTGAATTTAAGTCCAACATATCATTATATTCAATGAAAATATCTTTCTTGTGAGCCTGTTCCACTGCAGATACACTGTCTTAAGCCTTCAGATTTTTAAGTCCGTAAAGAGCCACTACATAAGAGTTGAGGATTAGTCTAGACAGTCTAACCTATATTCACAAGGGATAATTCTTCCCCCTTGTAAATTTTTTTAATTTGAGAAGGAATAGATCTTCTCTCATTTTTTTTTATTATCACATTATTCTTATGGTGCAAGTGTTCATCCTCTGGTAGTGCTAAGCATAGAAGCACAGTAACAGGTCCAAATCAAACCCCTTGGCTGTAAGAAGAACTTAAGAGTAGTTTTTACTGCCTAGAACCATGTCACCTTGTGTTATCAGCCATTCAGGTTGTGTTATGTTGATGCTTTGGTGGGAATGCCAAGAGATAAGAATTTATATATTGTGTGGTTGAGAATAATGTGCTTCCAGCCATGAGCCAATACTGGATGACAACACAGCAGCCAGAGCTGTAGCAGGGGTACACAAGTGGAAGGTGTGAAGGATGAGGATGAGGTCTGCTGGTGGTTGCTGCTGCCCAGGAGGAAAGTGGGTGGATTCCTGGGACAACTGGAAGGACTGAGAGGTGGAGATTTGGTCCTTCTTGCTTGGGTGACAAAGAAAGCTAAGTTAATAGTTTATAAATAAAATGCTCTGACATTCACAGCAGAAAGCTACCTAACTTAACAAAAGAAAATC